TTTTTCCAAGTAACTCTTTTCAGAGCACAGAAGTAATCGTACATTTGGATACTGATAAAATTACGCTGGATTATCGGCTGAGAAACAAAACCTACGGATATGCCCACATGACAGCGGTTGGCAATGGGTTGGATGCATTTATAGCTTCAACCCTAGAAATTTTCAACAACCGAATAGCGTTTTACTTCAATAACTCCTCATGTACTGACTCTCCAGAAAGTTACGTATCTATCCCTTCAAGTTCAATAACCCAAAACAAAGATGTCATGATTTGTATCCACTCAAAAGGTGAACAAAGAAAACTGCTCGATGCTCAACTCAAATGCTCGTGCATGGAAAGAAAGAATGATTTTCATGGCTACAGCGGAAATTTAGTAGCCTTCATAAGCCAGATAGAGCAGATCTGACCCATTGATTGATGTACAGGCTGTCCAGAAAGAACAGTTCGTGACCTGATAGAACGGCGGATGCATAGTGAGTGATTTGAGCAGTATTCCGCACTATCACTGCTCATAGAATGGAAAAAAAGAGAAAGAAATTCAAACAAGCAAACCATACCCTTATCTTAAAACCCTGCCCAGACAGCTACGCATCCAACTCTTCAAGTTCAATGACCCAAAACATGTGTCAAGATTTGTATCCACTCAAAAGGTGAACAAAGAAAACTGTTCCGATTCTCAACTAAAGTGTTTGTGAATGGAAAGAAAGAACGATTTTCGTGGTTATCTGGAATTTTGGTGGCCTTTATGAGCCAGATAGCGCAGATCTGATATATCGATCATGTACAAACTGTCCGTAAAGTACAGAATATGAATTCGGGCACTATGATTCAGAATATAGAAGAATTCGAATGAATAAGATGCTGTGACAATCTAGTCAATGCAATTCAACAGGCCCAAATCCAGGAGGATAAGCCTTTCCCTTCACTCATTTGATCATTATTGATCGTATCAATGATGCATGTGTCACCATTCAGAATGAATAATTCAAATCAAAAATACATAACAATTTATATTGAACGCAATTATTCATAAAACCACATGAATCTGCCTTTTCAGAGTAGCCAATCTCTTTTCTGAGCACAGAGTTTTCCGCAATTTAGTACTTCGGCCTATCTCCCCCTAGGGCGGTTGCCTCTTCTCGCCTTATATCCTAAGCCTCAGAGGAAGACAAGGGTTTCCTCACCACACCAGCGCTGCGAGACTCCAAACAGCGCCACTCTCAGAGAAAGCATCTCCTACAGGGAAGAACAGCTACAACAACAGCTTCATCGCCAAGTCCTTTGATCATATCCTGTCCTTCCCCCACATGCCTTACTAAGCTAGCAGTATAGAACTAGCGCGTGGGACGCATCCCCGGGAGCAGAGACATGGTCCATGATTTAATCACTGCTAGCCAGTATTGATACTGAGAAATAGACGAAAAAAGAAACCATAATGTCGTCAACATGGCGCGGCAAATGGGTTGAATGCATTTGTAGCCTCAAATGTGGGGATTTTCAACAACCGAATAGCTCAAATGCAGAAATTTCCAACGAATAGTTTTTAACTCCAGGAACTCTTTAAATGTGCACCACAAGAACAGCTCATGCTGACATATGCAGAGGCATCAGTGATTGGAGCATTATTCGGCACCATCACTGCTTCTACTACTCATAGAAGGAGAAAAAGAGAAAGAAATTCGAAAAAGTAAACCATATTCTTATTTCAAAATTTTGCCCAGCAAGTCATGATTTACTAAAAGGTGAACAAGAAAACTGATTTGATGCTCAACTCAAATGTTCGTGAATGGAAAGAAAGAACGATTTTCGTGGCAGTACTAGATCTTTCGCGTTACAGCCTGTGAGCCAACATAGCTGCAGATCGATACATCCAATCATTACCGACTGTCCCGAAAGTACCAGTCATTAATTCGCGCACCATGTTCAGAATATAGAAGGCTTCAATGAATAGATACTGGGACAAACAGTTTCAACGCATGCTCCATAGCCCAATCCAGGAGAAGACCTTTCCCTTCACTCATTTGATCATTATTGATCGTATCAATGATGCATGTGTCACCATTCAGAATGAATAATTCAAATCAAATAATACACAACAATTTATATTGAACGCAATTATTCATAAAATCACATGAATCTGCCTTTTCACGTGCAAGAAGCGTCATCGCCTGAAGATCACCAGATCACCAGCAAAACGCCAGTTGAGATGCAGTTGGCGTGAGCGACGACTATTTGACGAAAATTTTGATTAGAACTTGAATATTATGAATTGGCAACAGAGTTGTCGTTGAGAGGACGACAAGAAAGACCAGAAGAAAGACACGATGGACGTGTGAAAGAAATGGTGAATAGAAAAGGAATAGGAAATCGATCAAAAGGAATACTCGTGGATGCAAAATGACACCCACTAAAAAGACCATGGACAGGATCTTAGATGTTTTTTTTGAAAATGTATTTTCCGAAAAGAAACTCACGAAAGTAGTGAGTATGAGATTCTCAGAATTTCCTCCAAAATTGTTGACATCCAAATAGGCGATAGAGTAATATCTTTATGAAAAACCATTCAGCACGATCACATAGGAAAAATGAACAACATATCAACATAGAAACAATTTCAATGGTCAATATGATGACCGCTAAACTATGGATCTCTTGAAGAAAAGAAAACATACTAAAAAATGAATCTTGCAATGCCGATGTCAAGATCAGACAAAGGACAACTACCTATTGATGACTATGTAGCACTCAAAACGAGAACGTGTGTACGAATACAGCGCTACCCTTCGTGCGCCGATAAAACCTCGCACGTGTTTCATGATTGGCAAATAATCAGAGATGTTAGTATAAGAAAGAAATATTGAAAAATTCAAACCAGGACCCGATAATGTAGCGGTGATCAATCGCGTGGCCGATAAGGACGCCCACTTTTACCTCGATTTTGCTGAAACGGCCGATTGTCTCGAGATGGTGTTGAGTTGTCAGAAAACGGACGAGGTTGCGGTGGACGGGGACCCATGAAAGGTGAAGGAAAACCTGGCGGAGGAGGGAATGGTGGGAAACCAGGTGGCGGAGGACCAGGTGGGAAACCAGGCGGGGGTAGAGGAGGCAATGGGAAACCTGGAGGCGGAGGAGGACAGGGAGGAAAGCCAGGTGGGGGTGGTGGGGGAATACGACCACCAGGGAAGGGGCGACGATCGTTGTTGAACCGATCCACTGACATCTTGCGGTCTGGAGGGTGAGGAGACTGCTGACGTTGAGGTTTCGGTGGTGGGTGTTGCACCTGCGGTGATGGATGTTGGGCCTGTGATGGTGTATGCTGTGGCTTTGATGGCGTTTGTTGTTGCGGCTTCGAAGCAGACGATGAAGACCCAATGCCGAGTGCAGACAACAGTGTACTAGTCACCTTTCGGCTAGTGGCCTCAGAATCCTCTTGAGTAGGCATTTCAGGCTGTTTGCGCTTAGCCTCTTGTTGTAGTTCCGAAGGAAGAGGCGCCAATGAAGTGGGTAGACATGACGTGTCTGGCTTCGCATTTTGTGGACGACTTGGACCTCCACGGTACTGACCACGCTCATACTTCTTCCGTAAGTTCATACCGCGCTGTCCCTTGGCGAATGTATTATCTGCAGATTTCTGTCGCTTCTTAGGATCGAACCGTGCGTTGGTCTTATTACCAGTAGAATCATCTGCACCCGATCCTCTGGGTCCTTCCGTACGATCTTTGGATCGCCACCTGTCTGAATTCGGTCGAGGATCCGAATTGGTAGGATCATTTGGCTTTGTAGCATTAGCATTACATCGATCAGCATTAGAACCTTCACCGAACAAAGGATTCTTGGGTGGACTGAAATTCTGTTGATTACTTCGCGTAGCTCCTTCCGAAGACACTTTCTGAGGAGTACCACCAACAGATCCAGCGAAAGACGGAGGCAGGTTGGACGGTTGTGAACTCGCAGGTGGATTGACGCGGGTAGATAAGTTGGAGATCGTTGTCTGGACAGAAATAGACGGAGGGGGCATGGTCAGATTGGGTATATTCGTCATGCCATTCATATTTGACGGAGGCATCATCGTGTGCTGAGACGGTGGAGGAGCACCATTTGTAGGAGCAGTACTGGCTGATGAAGTAGCTACATGTGCAGCCACCGTTGGACCGGCAACAGGCGCCGCGAAAATCGGTATAGGAGGTGGTAAAGCAGCGAAATTTGGAATAAGTGGAAATGGAGGTGGAAGCAGTGGAGGTTGCGGAGGCACTGCAAGGTTCGGAACGGGCAAATTGGGAGGAGCCATCGGAATAAAAGACACCTAAAAGTAGAAGCATTTCATATAAGAACATGAATATGTGCGTAAGTTAGTCTGAAGGCTTACCATAGGAACATGATGTGATGGCGGTGGTGGAGGAGCAGCAACAGATATTGGAGGTGGCGGCAAAATAGGAGGTGGTGGCGGAGGAGCTATAATTGGTGGAGGAGGAGGCGCCTGAAGCGGAGAATTGGCACGTGATGGCGAATCTGCCTGCAGTGGTGACAGTGAACAGTCCGATACAAGTTCCATCTTCACCGAATCTGTGTCGATTTCCCGTCGTGATAGCGATCTTCAAAAGAAGTATTATGGCTAAGAATCAAATCTAAGGAAAAAAGTATCTACAATAGCGTACTTTGATGACGCTTCGCGCTTAAGAGCAGCTGATTGGGAGGCTTTTTCTTGATCATTGGTAGTGGAAGGCTGCTGTGCCGTTGCAGTACGCAGCGCTGACACGAACGATTCTAACAACACTCCCTTAAAAATTTATAATTGCAACATCGTGAACCAGTAAAATGAATGTCACTTACCGTATTGACACTGCCAACCATTCTGTTTAAATCCTCTCCTAATGTTGATGCAAGTTGACTAGTTGAGGTACCAGCCATCGCGGCAATATTTGCCAGTAACGACTGCATTGTGGGAGCTGTAGAAGTAGGAACTGAGGGTTGAAGCGGTTGCGAAGGTTGAATTGGTGGCGGAGTTCGGGGCCCTGAAAAATCACAAAATTGCAACCCCGTGTAACTTCATTGGTCAATTAGCACTAACATACGAATTTAATGATAAATGACAAACAATCAACTCACCTGGTGACCCGGGAGGAGTTTTCGGTCCACGCTGCTGCTTCGGCCGCTGTGGAGTCTCAACGGTAGCAACCGCAGGGGCATCGGCTAGTGGTGGAGTTCTGGGTCCTCTTCGTGGCGCAGACATACCACCATAGTCCATTTCCATATCAGTCTACAAGACACCAAAGAGCATAGAATGCAAGGTATTACTCAAAAAGTGCTATCAAAATTATGAACAATGAAAGGGAAATGGAGGTATTACTCACTCGAGGAACAGCACTTTCAGGTGGTGGATCTACCTTCACAAACCCATTGATGTATAAGATTCGAGCCGACCATAAAGCATTTTATGCCCTAATAGGCGCTCCATGAGTGATTCCCGACGAACAAACTGAAGAAATACGAAAGCTGAATAACAACATAGGAAATATAGAAATGTCAACAAAACTACAAAGGATATTAAAGAGGAGGTAAATATTCGCAGTTGAGTCCACGCACCTCTCGAGCCATGGTGTCATCTAGAGCATGACGTTCAAGAGCTTCCCGCGATAATGTGGCGTCATGATTAACAACTTGAGGTGTCCGTTCCTCAACCTCACGTTTTTGCTCCCTTCTTCCCCGTGAAGCCGCCATTTCTCCACAAATCCTGTCGACCACAGCCAGCGGATCCTTAAACGACTAGGAATTTTTAGGAAGTACTTCGCAAAATGACCGAACATCGTCACCAATAGAACCAAGCACTGAAAGCAGTTATACGATACCTACCTGCGTAATTGAAGTTTCCGGTTGTTTGCGAGCCTTCTTAGCCTCACGGGCGTGTTCGGCTGCATAACTGGAACCACAATAATACTTTCTCAAACCAGTAATTACTCAAAAAAGCAAATACCGCTTCTTTTGTCGCATTTTGATCGTTTGGATATCCCGCTGAGAAAATTCCCGAGTATCATGGGCATCGGCTAGAGGAGACCTTCAAAAAATAGGTAAGAGATGGTTATACAATTCATAAAAGGAATATCAAAACAAAGCATGATTAAGAATACATGGTTTGTTTCGCCCTTTTCTCAGACGAATCTGCTATTTCACAAATCTCGGAGTATGTTATGACCCGGATTGACGAAATAAAGACAATGAGAGTGACAAAAAAAAACACAAAAAAAAGGTAATCGAAATGACCCACCTTGTAGCCACAGCAGGTGAGGCTTTTCCTTTTTCCTTATCTTTATGCGGAATCTTGAAAGGTGTAGTCAATTCATTCGAACAAATATCCATATGCGCATTAACCTTCTGAACTAAAACTGAAAATAGAAGAAATAGAGACAGTAATCTTTCACCATCACGGCACGCAAAGTACAAGGACGGTTAATACCGTGTCTAACAAAACACAAGCACAAAATATTCAAAAATTCATTTGTAGAGTTAAATAATAGGTCTGAGAAAATGGAATCTGAGCATAGTATTTGTCGTGACAGTATAGTGAAAATGAAGTTGCACTGCCATAGAAAACGATGTTACAAACGATATCTGATAATGACGGTAAAGCAGTAATTGACATCGACCTCACACAAACGACTATTCAAAAGGTCTACCCGTAAATATAAAGAATATCACTTGCTTTAAGCAAACAGTATCGTACGAGTACGACTGTACGCAGAAAATTAGACGCCTGCGGTATGGCGCGGCTTGTCACACACGAACTCATATTCCGCCGAGCTTTCCAAGATTACAGCAAAATTCTACAGAAAATTCAGTGAATGATGAATAATTCAACACTTCAATATGTTAAGAAAAACCCTAGAGTGATTATATTGCTTTGAGACCATGCAGAAAGTAAAGGCAGTCATAGAAGAGTGGCAACGTCTTGAAAATGCTAAAATCGAAAGATGCGAACACGTGTCAAAAGGCACGTGTTTAAATAGACTAACAAAGATCCAAACTGGGATATCTTTCATAGAATCACATGGTGACGAGAACATATGAAAGAGCGCATATGAAGAGACTCTCGAAGAAAAACAACGGTAGAGAGGTAATTGGAGACTAATAGACATAATATTGCAAGGGTAACATCTAAACGCTACCCGTTGAAGGAGTAATCGATGTGAAAGCCATTTGGGAACTGCTGGTTGACACAGGTGTAGAGACCGTTTCGACTTCTACCTCATCTCGGCGGGAGGATATAGCAAATGGAGTGGAGCGTTGTAAAGGCACAACAACTGAGTCTATGCTCCCACTCATAGCGCCTGACCTACGTGCTGGACGTTCAGCTCCTCTGGAACGCCTTTCCTTCTCTTTAGCTGCGCTGTCGACTTTTAGCGCCTAAAACAAAAATGTATGATGAAGTCGTCCCAGCAACTGGTGAGTTACTCCCATTAGGTAAAAATGATCCAGTATAATTGAATAGTCTCACAAACCCCCACGATCAAACGTTTTCCTCAATCTGCAATGCCATCCTAACAACCAAGCTAAAAGGATTGCGTAATAATGTATACTATGAAAAACATTGCGTCAATTTCATTGAGACAAAACTACATGAAAGTTGAAACCAGTTAAAATACAGTTTGATTTCAGTCATATATAGTGGAAAATATACCGAGTAAATTCCAAAACAAAAAGCTAATAATAATATAACCTTATCAGCTTAAGGAGAATAAGAAAATAGCCAAAAATTTATATTTTTTAGAACCCACAGCTTGAACAATCTCGTTGATTTGACGCTGCATTTCTTCGGAGTTTTCCTCTGGTTTACCCTTTCCTCGTGCTCCACCAGGTCCTGCTCGAGGACGCTGACGAGGTCTTCGTGATACGTTGCCAGCATGAGTTGCGTTGCCCAATATTCGCTGGACCGGCGCCGGGAGAAAAAAGCATACCCTCGACGCCTTCATTTTCAGATTCCAGACGGAGTGCCGCAGAGGCAGCGGTATCACCACCTGTCTGTTGCAGCACAGTCTGTAGTAAATCTTCAACGTTCAAAGGATTGTCGCCAAATCGCTGACAAAGCGGCTATATTAACTGCGCCCAATCGGTTTCGCTATGAACAATCTCCTATAAAAGAAGACAATACTTAACGTGGAGGCTCAACAAGTTTGTCCCTCATAAGGTGTCGCACAGTGCACGTACAACGTCACTCTAACATTGCAACCATGAAACGCAGGAGTTAGGATCATATCATCACATTTATTCCCGTATGACCGGCACTGCTACAACACCAAACTCCTTCCGATTCAAAACAATAACAACCTCGCTGTTCCGATCGCTTCGTGGTGCGCATCAATTTTTTACCTTAATTCGATACAAACGCATTAAAAGGCATTGAACAGGTGTCCAAACCCGAAGTGTCATATGGAATAAATGCATCACCAACTTCAGAAAAGATGAGAAACACTTGGAAAAGCATGTAACTTACCCTTGTAACAGTTCAGTTGGTGTTTCTACATCACTCATGCCAAGATCATTCAAGCGCTCGTATAGGGCACAGACACCCTTGTGACCTTTGAGCAGCTACAGCGATGCTCGCTTGGCGCACTTTCTCAAGTAATTCAGCGTTGCGGGCCTAAATATCAACAAAAGTATGAAAACTAGATCAGCAAGACTGTTATTTGATGGCGAAAACAGAAAAAAAACATGATGGCGAAAGAAAAGAAAAACTCACTCTTTCATTCGCAATGTCTCTTTCGATATCTTGGCGGAAACTCGGAGTTTTCATATATTCCAAGAATGCCATAATTCCATTTCTGTAGCTTACTGAAATCTCATAAATGTGTTTGGAGGATTTCCGAGAATTCTTGAATGGTCTGAGGAAAAAAACCTACGACATAACGCGTCAATTGGAATTTTCGCCGACAGGACATCCTCTGTCTCCTTGTCGATGATACGCACAACAGATTTACCATCATTAAGTTCTTCTCCCTCACTGTACAATTTTTCGGTCGGTTGTGGTGCGTGAGGTAGGTCTACGCGGACCAAGCCATCGCCAACATTCATGTCCACAGGGCGAGGGGTGGAGATGAGCGCGTGCATTTTTTCAATACCCTCTCGAGCATCATCCGAGACACGTGCCACCGGCTGAAACAATTGGTGGCATAAAAAAACAGTGATTGCGAGCTGGTCAAATCCAGTTCCACAAGAAAAGTATCTACATTGCATAACCCCTGCGAATCTACCCGTGAACGAACAGCTTGTTTCTTCGAGCTATCGCTCTTGTGATGTGAAGAGCTTCCAACATGATGGGACTTGCGCTGCTTCTTTAGACCTGGAGGCACGTAATCGGTATCGGCTTCATTCCATCGTGGGCTTCCAGGCATTGGAGAGCCCTAAAACACGCGTGAATGAGTACGGAAAGCTGATCTGACCAACCGCTACGTTTTAAATTCAAATGGCTTGTGGGGTGAAATTGAGATTATGATAAAAGAGCATGGAAAACGTTGCTCTCAAACGAAGAAGGAACGTAACGTAAGCCGAACGAAAGCTATGCCCGAAATAATTGTCATCGTAATTGAATGAAGCCATCAGGCACATCTGTTAAGTCGGCATTCGAGAAAAAGAACTTTTCCCACACGAAATTTAGAGCCAAAATTTTCAAAAGCCGAGCTAAAAAGTTTCACTTGGACATCACTACTACCATATAAATTACCAATAGATAAATTACCAGAGACAAAGATAATGCCACTTAGGTGTTTTTAGGGTCACGCTTCCTTTTTATATGCAAATAGAATAGTTTACTTTTATATAAACTATAAAGTGGATTTAGCAAGCGAAACAAGTCATGAAAAGTAATGTTAGCACTTGTTAGTTCCTACTCTAGTATAGGTGTAGGTGTACTTCCTTCATCAAGGTGGTAGTAACATGTACAATAAAAAAAAACTCTTTGAGATTTTCTGATCAATAGCACCAACGACACACATAATCAGTTAACACTTCAGAAATTCCTCCTGAACTTTCAAATTGCTACCTATAGAAGAAGGTGTGCGGCATAAATTACACATACGCTTGAACTTGTATCATCATTACCCGAATTCATTTCACCCGACTAACTACGTACTATTTCACACTTTGCCAGAAATCTATCTGCTACAACGGATGCTTTGAAGAGGAACCTCAATTCGAAAAAAAAAACGCAGGAGTAACGAGAGCATCAAAAGACATGACGAAGGCATAGCGATGAAGAAACTGAGACCCTGTGCTGAGAACTTTCGCGGGTCTAACAAAAAAGCAACGTGGCTAGTTTGTCATCACTGCAACATTACCGCGATCACTGCAGTGACAAACAATGCAAGATAGCATTGACACGCATGCAAAAACAGCAATTCAACTTGGAGTACTTTCGAAGTGAACGTGCTTATTAAAGAGTAATGCTGCTAGCTTTCATAAATGATGCCGACTCGATTTCAAATTTTGAGCAAAGCGGAGTTGAGTAAATAGAGATTTGAAGAGAAATGAAGCAAGCGAGACCAGGATGTGTTGGGATTTCCCCAACACAACAGTAGTAGATATGACTTCCACACTATCAACCTAACTCTCTCTGAGGAGATTTGATTCAAAGATTGTGACCAAGAGATGAAAGCTAATCATGTTATTGCTCTGTATCACATTACATGACGAATGTTTAAAATCGCGCACAACTTCTGTGAAGATAAAAAGTGAACTGGGAGAACTCACCCTTTTCTTCTTTTCCTCGCATTGATTGACATAAACTTTCCAACGGTTACGAGTTGTAGGGCCATGCCTGAACAAAATCAGAAGATCGATCTGATGAACCATTATAAATTTCTACAGGGTTGAAGAAGAAAGCGGCCAACAACCCACGCTTTAGAGTCGTTATCACCCTGAGTGTCCTCGCCTTCATCCACTTTAGCCGAGTCGTTTCTCGGAGGCCTATTGCGCTCCTGAATGTAAGCTTCTTAGTGTAATCCTACTCCAGTATCTAACGTAAGACGCACCACGCTATCTGGGGAACGTGAACCCGACTTGCTTGACGAGGAAACGGAACGAGAGAGTTCGCCACCGTTTTTTCTTTGCGTGAAAAAGTTCATCATCTGAAAGAAAAAGTGCGTAAAAAAAGGGTTTGCACCCAAACAGTTTGACCGAGAATATTTCTACGTAAACTTCATGCGGAATTTTGCTTATAATTTTCGAGATAGATAGTAACGACTTTGTAAATGGAGAAGGACGGTGTAGGATAAGTTCGAATGGACACATTCGTGACCCAAGAACTGTACATGAGATCGAAACGACATTTTTGCCAAGCGAATACGACATAATCAGCGCTATCCGAAAGGAACTTTTGAAAAATAAAGATGACAGATAAATCATTTTCTCAGGAATGAAAAAGAGCCTCTGGCACTAAAGTAACGATTGACTAACACAGATCGCTTAATCACAGACTGGAATTACATGAATCATACTACAAAGAATGAAACTTTACAGTTCAACTTGTCAGTAGAAAAACCACCAATACAATGAAAACCTTCCCCTTCCCGGCGGAATCATTGCCTTCTTTTCTGATTAATACTACTGCAAGATTAATCGTAGTTAAATTCCATTCAAGATGCAGAAACGGGGCTTTTTTCTTCTTCACCCACCCACGGTCATGAAGGGCTAGTCATTTTTTGTAAAGATGAAATTCCATTCGGTCGTTCTAGCCAAAGAGATTTGGTCAAATCTCTCATAAATAAAAGCCTACAGTTATATGCATATCAAATGGCAGTCTTTTAATTCAGTATTGCCCGAAAACAAATCCCGACTCAAATCTTATGCAACCTCGCAGAGCCGAATCTATGGCCAATTGGCGTTGTACTATGTAAACTCTCGAGTAAGTGGTCCCTGTTGTTCATTGGATCGTTTATAAAATAAGCTAGAAAACTCTTTCGCAAGAGCATGCATGACTAAAACATTCATATCCACTCAAGTATTTCGAGTTGAAGCCAGACATGACCACAAGTAATGCATAGGACGTGGTCGGACTTGCGACAACGACGGCCGGTCGATTTCCTCACGCATCTTATGACCGCGGCGCGCCCGCCCCGCGAGCAATCCGAAGTGAATCGATGCGATGGCCGACGACCGACCGAGGCGTTAGGCATCAGTGATGAGCTAGCGATCAGCCTAGCAATGACCAAACTATGCGGATGTAGCGCAGGCAGGTTTGCAGAACCGCGCCATTATGGAAAGTTAGATACAAATGTAAAAGTTCCTGGGTCCTATCAGTTAGCGGGGGCATCAATGGTGCGGTTGATTCCCAAAAGCTACTGTAAACTCTGACCATGGGGTGGAGTGTAGTGCTAGCCTACGGGTGGGCCAGTCATTGACATGCTGAAATCTGGAGTTCGAGTTTACTAGCTCGTCCGAGAAACTGCATCATACTTCCCTAATACTGGAATAGCCCGGTCTTCCTGATAATACTCTGGCTCGGGCGCTCGCGGCGTTGGGGGGGGGGGGGGCATTCAAGCTAGTGAGCCATTGGCTGCTTGGGACTAAGCCTTAGGCAGGGGAAGGGATTCTGGGGTAGGATGTGAGCAATTATGTGTTCTCCCTAGCGTTTCTCCCCTCTCTATGCTCAGTCCAATATCACCGAATCGGCTCTGCTATGATGGTCCCCCTTTCCAGAGGACACGAGCGACCTGACTCGAATACTACAAAACATTGCGTTGAATGAGCTAAAAAGGATTACAAGTTACCAAGTGAGTGGAAACTAAGAAAAGGGAAATAAAGCGAATCCCATCAAAAGAGGAAATCGAAATCATCGAAAGAAGAAAGTCAAGTAAAGTTTAACAAGTAATAGTTGCTTCGGGGACAAAGTAGCTTGGCGGCAATAGACGCTACCAAATTTCTCAGCATATAACACAGCCAAAACAATGCAACAAACAAGTAAAACTCCCATTAGTACGAAATTAAACATCTGATAGGAATTGTTTAGGAGACTAAGCATGGTCACAAGATCGGCTAATATCCAAAACCCTTGTATGAACCAAATATGCAATCAGTGCTTCTATGAACATGAAAAATACGAACGCGGCTCTAAGATTAATCAAGTCAACACTCAGAATAATCCCTTGAATTATTTCATTAGAGACTAACCCAACTATAAACCAAGAATATATTCGCCTAAGCAAACCGATGGGCTACTTAATATTGCAGGAGACAGCTAATAACAAAAAGTAAAATATTATTATCGTCCTACACAAAAATGCTTCCCATTAGCCATCCCCCAAATAGGAACGCTTGGCTGGCCTGGACGAGATCTGACCAGGGGTCTCACTCTCGGACCGGCAGTCGTGCCGTTGGGTTCCATACTCGCGACTAAATGATATAATGCAACAGATTCAGCATACATGTCCGGATTAGAGTGAGCCTGCTTGATGCTTAGTATCCAGTAATAGAACGCGGCAAAAGAAGGAAAATAATCATCCCTATGCATTTAAGCTCTTGTACTCTAGAGATTACTTCATCGCTACACTTCTATTCGTATTCATATTAGCCTGAACTTGCCCCAGCAATTCTTCAACAACAATATGAGCGATGAGATAAAGAAATTGCATACAAAAAACGTTGATGAAGGAGGAATGTAACATTTCGAACGTTTTTTTATCCTAACATTCGAGCAGAAATTCTTGCCGAAACCATTTCTGCAGAGAAACGAGAAATGAGTAACACTATGGTCAACTGGAGAACTGAAGAGGAGAGCAACGGTTTGAGGTTGATTCTTGAATCTAACCTTTTTGGGCGAATGTATCCGTGCAAGTAAGCACCTACCACGCACGTTAGGGGATAAACTCTGGGTCGGAGTCGAAACTTCCATCCCTCCGGGTCGGTTAATTGGTACCAGACTTGTCTGGGAGGATAAAAACACTGACTTGTACATCGGCTGGCCCCCGCAAGTCATTGTATAGGCCACATCGCATTCAAACGCCACTACGAATGTACAAATGGAAGTAGAATGCGTGCCGCATCCCAAAAGGGATTGATCAACGGCAAATGCTTTATCCTTTACCCTTTTTACGTACAACTTCTCGGATGAGACTCTGCAGAAAGCCGTAATTTCTTTACGTAGACCTTTCTTTGATGAAAGAAATGAAGTGGAGCTGTGCAAGCACCCGATTCATGATTTTTGAGGCAGCCGAGAATTTGGAAAAGTAAACCTTTACGAAATAATGGAGTAGTCTGGCAAGCCTAACAAGCACAACACCACTGACAGGTCATGCGCACAACGACCTAACAATGTTATATAGAAGCTAAACGTCTAGGGAGTTTAGTAAACAAATTTATAACTATGCGACATGACTGCAGTAAGATTAATGAAAAAGGTGTGCGTCGGTCTCAAGAAAGTAGACAATTTTAAAATGCTCAAAAAATTATATTCAAGGTAAGCTAGTTGAGGTGTATGTTCGAAATTGTCGATGTCAGTCTGGTCAATCACAAAAAGTCGATAAACCCCAGAAACACAGAGTAGAGAGAAAAGGAAATTCCTTCAAGTCATAAAACCGCAATACAACAGGAACAAGAAAGCTCGTTTCGGACGAGCACCAAGTTTATCGCAAGAAAATATTCCTACACTCCTCAAATAAATTCTCTGATACTTACATAAGAAATATGAAGAAAATGCAGACGAACCTTGTTGTGCGTTACGGTGTGAAGGTAGTACGGCACAGTATTTGGAGTCCACGAAGTTGGCTGCTTTACCGTCTTCAATTGAGTGACCTCCATTATGGATTCAACATCTTAAACAGAGGTTAGAATCCCCAATGTTCAGAGATACGTAGCAGATGCAACAAGCTCTGCAAACACACTCGACCAACCTCCAAGATTTCGCATATTGACTCGCTTTGTGCCCGTTGCGTAGGCCTTCGTAGAGATAATACGCGTACCGACATGACAGTCTGCTAGCATATTCTTTATGTGCAGATCCAAACTCGGTTCAAACGCGTAGTTGTTGATGAAAATAATAGTTGCTTCCTAAACCAATATTCTGACTCACATGTTAATGGTGTTAACAGATCAGAAAAGGTTGTAAATAAATGTGACAAAGAAGAGACAATCTAAGGAAACGCAAGATGCGTCACCACATAGAATGGAGGCAAAGGCATTACCTGCGTGATCAAATTTCTAAACTGTTCATCTAACATGTCACCATGTATTAATTGAAACGGGCGACACTTTTTCTTCCACCACTTCATCCACCTTAAAAGGTGAAATCATTACGAACGCCGCCTGCCTAGTAACCGGGAATGGATGCTTACTTAGAGAAAT